GTTGATTACAAAAACAGAAGATCAACAGAAGCATTTATAATATTATGGTATACAGTTCTGCAGAATGAAATCATGTGTAGGGAAAAAAAAAAGTAACCTTTAGCTACCAAATCTGTGCTAAAGGGAAACTATTCCCAGCCTCAGTGTCTAATTAATTCTCTTGCCAGACAATCAATTGCTCAAAATATTATCACGCTAGTGTGCTTGTCTTTCCATCTTGAACTATATGTGCAGCTATGTATAATTTTAAAGGGGAGAGAATTAAAAATAGCCTTATACCAGTCCATAAATTATACACAAATATAGCATCATTTATGTCAAAATTTCAAAGAATTTATTAATCCTAGGAAAAGCTGATAATGAGAATGAAATAATGGTTTCAGGAGGTAACCTTGGTAACAGTTTGGCTTGGTTTCCATGGTAACAAAGAGTACAGCTGAGAGGCTCAAAGAATCACAATTTCCTTTGATTGGTAGATTCTCAAAAATGATGATTTGGAAAGTGACAGGGGATTTGAAAAAAGAAAAAGATTTCCCTTATGAGGAATGAGACATTAAGTGTAATAATAGCACATTGATGGTTGGACACAGACAGGCCTTTGAAATTTAATGAAACCCCCCTTTGCTCCTTCATAAAAAATTGGATAGAATATCTCAATTTATAACAGCATGAATCTGGAGACTACATTTCCTTCTCCTGATTAACTAGCCACTGTATACTAGATGACTTATAATGTCCTCATAAAATTAGCTTAAAATTCTATTCAATGACATAAATTGTGAATAAATCCACAATAAAACAAATATTTTTGGCTGTCTCTGTATTGTTCTGTGGAGCTTAATAGGAAAAAAAAGGTAAAATAAAAAATATAGTGAGAAGGGAATTAAGAAATCTAGAAAATCAGGACATATCTCTGTAGCTAGTAGTGGCATGAGCTCATATCATTTTACTTGCTCCTGGCTTTTCTTCTCACAAAGTAACTCTGAGTACTTACTATCAAAAACAAAACAATCTGAATAATTACCTAAACTGCTTAGCTGCTCCTTGGAAAATACCAGATTCTTCTTGCTTTACCCACTATAAGTAGAAAATGTTGTAAGTTGAAAATGCATCTAACCTACAGAATCTCGTAGCTTAGCAACATGACAAACAGTAGAGAATCAGTTCTTGAGCTTCATGATTGCATGGCAACAGGGAGCAGCTTCTTGCTGCTACTACTAGCCAGTATCAAGAGAGTATAATACCACGTCACCAACCTGGAAAAAAATCATGTTGGATCATAGCTATAAAATCTATTGATAATGCCTATATGTTTACACCATAATAAAGTAAAACTAAAAAAAATTGAACCCCAATAAGTCAGGAAAATCTATAACACATTATTTTAAGTTGTTTGAATTGTAGGATTTTAAAACATTTTTTTTTATCAATGTGAAACACAAATTTGGAGAGATGCACAGACAGGCTAGGAAAACCCTGGATGAAACTGTAGATATTGAGCTCCTGTCTACAATGTCAGAGTATCATAAAAAGAATAACAACAACAACAACAAACTTTATTTAGATCTCCCTAGGAGGAAGGTGTGTAAAGGAAAGAAAGATTGAACAATCTTTTGCAGAGTCAATGGTTTACATCTAGAAGGCAAAGCACTGAGTGACAAACAATTATAAAATCCACACAAACTCTTGGAGAGGAGAATATGGATTGGATGGACTAAAGGCCATGGGTCCAGGCATCTTAATAATAGTCTCCTGCACACAACTAATGGAATAAAAAAAAAGGGGGGGATTTTTTAATGAAAGAATAAATGTATGCATGGATCAAAAGTTTATGTGCTTCAAAAAGAAGTGCTATGGAAGAATTCACCGTTTGTCATATGCTAGTCAATTTCTTGAAATCCAGGGATAAGGAAAGATTTCTGCAGTCATATAAGTAAAGGACTCATGAGACAGAAGGCCTACTGTCTTCAGATATCTACACAAATACTGAAGGCAATAGGAGAATCTATAGCAAGGTACAGGAAACTGAAATTGCAACCCTGGAATATTATATCCAGCCAATGTGTCCAGCAAGTGCAATGGTAGCAATGTTTGTAGGTATGACTGCCTGAATTAAGAAAATAAGAATTGATGAGAACTTCTAGAAAACACAATATCATGGCAACTCATGACATGGCAAAATTATGATTAAAGGGTGAATGTCAATTATTGAGATTTTATATATAGAACTTAAACAAATGTTGTTAATATACATGGTTATAGAAAAATGAATTTAGAGTTTATTATATAAACATGCTCAGGGCTAGATAACTATAGCTCACTGGTAAAACGCTTACCTAGAATGTGCAAGGCCATGAGTTCCACCCACAACACTGAATTTAAAAATAAATAAATAAATAAATAAATAAATTCAATATATAAGTAATTCTGTAGGAATAGATATAAGATCTGAAATTTATACGTCAAGAGAGGATAAGTAAGAAGAAAGAATAATAAAATCTCTATTTATCCAATAGGATAAATCAATTTAAAGTAAAAAAATCACAAATAACAAGAAATGAGATTATAGAAATAAACCCATTAAGTCAAAAATTGAAATGAATATACAGTAGCTTAGTGGGAGATTAATTTTATCAGATTAGATGATGTATTTGTACAGTTTTGGTTACTATCATGAAAATACCCATGGCTGAAACGATAGAAAGAGAAAAGGTTTGTTTGGCTCACAGTATTGACCTCAGTTCAGTCAGGAGAGGACCTGGTAGCAGATTACATCACTATTGGGGGGATGACATCTGAAAGAAAGAGATCCTGTTGTAAAACAAATCCAAAGAAGCTTGGGATTCAAGGGAGGTTTTTCATCAACCATCTTGTTATAAGAATTAACTCAGGGTCCCCTTGAAACTTACTATTCCTTCCAATGCCATCCCCCCCCTCCCCCAGTGACCTAAACTCCTCCCACTAGGCCTCACCTCTTGGATCTCATTCCTTTATTAACTTTAACACACTGAGGACCAGCTTTCAGTGAGTAACTCTTTACTGAGTGCTAGCTCTGGGGCAGACACTGCTTGAATGGTTAGGATGTGTCAAGGAGTAATAAAGAAAGACTAAGATCCCTGCTGCAAAGAACTTGAGTCTTGCCAGGAGAAACCGACAATATGTAATAAACACAATTAAAAAAAATAGACATATGGTGTTTTGGAAATGGCAGTGCCTAATAAATGAAAGAAAAATTAGGAAGGATTAGAAGGACCAGGGGAACCCCAGAAAGAGAAGAGTGTGGGAGTGATAAGTAGGGTGCTTGGGCCAGACCTCATTTAAAGGGTATTATGAAGGCATTAATCTGCTCCTATCTTACACAGCAGCATTCCAAAAAGAGATAATAGAGCAAAGGTCCATGGTAGAAGAATCCCAGGAATGTTCCAGAAATAGAAAGGAGGCTGACATGACTGTTGTGGAGGAAAGAGAGGGAGCAGTGTCAGATGTGACCCAGTAACCAGATATCCAGGGACACAGGAGAGTGAAGGGATCTGACTTACATTTTCAAATGGCAATTTTTGCCATTTCCCCTTGAGAATCTAGTGTAAAAGGCAGGGATAGGATCAGGAGAGGCATCTATGAGCAAGGGCAAAGATCAGGCATGAGATTATCATGGCTGCATTAGGAGGGCAGCAATGAAGGTGGTGTAGACTCCTTGGAACCCTGATCTAATTTTGAAGCAAGAGCCAAAGGCTGTCATGTGTGATCAACAGTGTGTGAGAGGAAGAAACCTGAGAAAAATGGCTAAGGAATTTTCAAGAGAAAAAAAAAAACTCTGCAAAGCATAAAAATGCATCATGTCATGCAAAATAGAACTTGAAAATGGTTTTTACAGAAACTAGAGACTTAAGAATTGTTTTGTAAGTCAAGTAATCCACAGTGATGTTTGAGAAATTAACAATTTTAAATGTGTTTACATGCATCTTTGGGGGAATATATTACACTTTATATAACAAGCTGACTACAGGCTCATGCTTTTTCTCAGCCACGTTGCTCATTCAGCCTGAAAGACTGTTCTTCCTTTTCTCCACCTTGCAAATAGATTTCCTCCCTTTCAAAAATAGAGTGCAAAATTCCACATTCTAATCATCCTCCATGCTCCAGTACTAGCAGGAGTCATTAATGTCCTCATCTTTACATGATACATACTTTATGGGACGTTTTACACACTATGCTTCACCTTGGATGTGTTTTTCCAGCTGTTTCTCACCTGGACTATCCTTCCCCTTTCTTTTTTCTCTTCTCAGCCCAAGAACACAGCTTGGCAAATGGGAGAGAGCCAATGGATGCTTTTGAATTGACATTGAGTGGATACCTCTAAACAAGAATAGGTCCAGGTGACACATCAGAAAATTCATCTCAGTTGTGGGTGTCAATAAGTAGAGTGGGAATACAAATCCGGAGTTAATTATACATATCTTTGTATCTATAGTTAGGTACAAATCTGAGGTTAAGTTTTTACCATGCCCGTATGGTCACATTTGATTTCTGCAAAGAACACTTTAATAATGCACTATTGAAAAGTTGTAACAGCAAAGAGGAAGGAGGGGAGGGAGGGTGCAACGGGTGCAGGAAAGATGATGGAATGAGATGGACATCATTACCCTAGGTAAGTGTATGACTGCTCATATGTTACAACTCTACATGGTGTACAAGGAGAGAAATGTAAAGTTGAAATGTAAAGAAAAAAATAAAACTGCTGCAGTTGGGTACAATGAACCAAAATGCATTCTGTTGTCATATATACCTAATTAAAATAAATTTTTTAAAA